AGCTTAAAATGCAATCGGGAAGTGAGTTAAATAAAATATTGAAAAACACTGTGTTTTTTTTATATATTTTGACTTAGTATTTTTCAATAATTTTATTAACTGACTTCCCGATTGAACTTTAATCTCAAATTTGGTGGCCATATTCTATATTTCATGAAACCCAATTTCACAAAATTTCATCAAAAAATTTCATCCAGAAGCACCTCAAATGAAGATCACTCATACAAGGTATAAGAAGTTCGGTTCCTGCCGAGGAATCGAAACCGAACTGGAACCGAACCAGAACCGAACCGATGAAATACTATAGTAACCGAACCGAAAAAGATGAAATTTAAAATTATAGGAACCAAACCGAATTGGAAAATTCAATTCGGTTTTCTCGATTTTACGATTCCAAGTCCCGGGCCTGTGTAATATTAGCTTGCTGAAGTTAGGCATGGACTCGGGCCGGGCCTAGGCCCGGTCGGGCCGCCGGTTTGTAACACATGGACCCGGAACCGGCCCGAGGTTTGGACGGGTTTGGGCCACCCGCCGGGCCGGGTCGGGCCGGTTAAAACTAATTTTTTTTATATATAATTTTTACTTTATAGTTTTATACAAGTATTAAAAACAAACTTCAAGTGCATTTATTTGAAATGAAATAGGAACTACATTTGAAAATTAAGAGAAACATACAATATGATATACATTTTGTAGATTGTAATCAATCGGAACTTCCCGCACCTCCCGATCCTTTGGCTTTGTCACATGACTTAATATGCTTCATTGCCATCCCGTATCCGTCTGAAGCTCCCATGCTACATTTTTTCCCGTACCATTTGCAAGTTGCGTACCACATCCCGGTCCTCGGGTCCTTCTGCTTATCAAAATTATACCGTATAACGGCATATTGACTTTCCATATTAAAAATGGTAGATAAAATAATTCTACAATAGATTGAGATGAAGATGGAGAATAGAGATTAGAGATTGGATGTTGGAGAAGATGTGTATAAAAATGTTAGAAAATAAGAGTATTTATAGAATTTTTTGTACCCCACCCACCCCCACCCCCAACGGTTCTATGCCTCTATTGATTCAAATTTCAAACAACCAAACTATCAAAGTGGCTATATAGCCGTTTGGGGCTTTTAATTTCAATTTTTTTTGTATGTTTTAGTTTGAATAAATTACATAATGTAAAATTAATTAATTAATTGCATAAATTACATAAATTGCAACAAATATATTAATAAAAATATATTAATAAAAAATTGGAGTTATAGCAAATTAGTATTTTAAAGTTTACTTTAATCAAATTAACTAGTGAATTAACTTGTTTTGTGTGCAACCTATTTTTTTTTACAAACAATGAAATTAATATACTTTAACTTTAACTATAATGAGAATTAACTAGTTTTTTAAACTAGAGTCAAAGGTAGCAATTAATAAAAAATTGTAATAAAGTAATTAACTATTAATCTAACTATTAATTCGAGTTATAGGCTTATAGCAAATTAGTATTTTAAAGTTTACTTTAATCAAATTAACTAGTGAATTGATTAGTTTTGTGTACAACCTATTTTTTTTACTAACAATGAAATTAATATACTTTAACTTTAACTATAATGAGAATTAACTAGTTTTTAAAACTAGAGTCAAAGGTAGCAATTAATAAAAAATTGTAATAAAGTAATTAACTATTAATCTAACTATTAATTCTAGTTATAGCAAATTAGTATTTTAAAGTTTACTTTAATCAAATTAAGTAGTGAATTAACTAGTTTTGTGTACAACCTATTTTTTTACTAACAATGAAATTAATATACTTTAACTTTAACTATAATGAGAATTAACTAGTTTTTTGAACTAGAGTCAAAGGTAGCAATTAATAAAAAATTGTAATAAAGTAATTAACTATTAATCTAACTATTAATTCGAGTTAGAGTGTAATACATTGTATTCGAGTAATACAAAATTAAACAAGTGTAAATAATAGAATGATTTCGTACCTCGTTCGAACTTTCGGTCTTTCGGATGGGAGTAATAGAATGACTTCAAATTAATTAGATATAATTCCAACTATATTAATAGATATAATAAATGTATAAGTAATATATAATTAGATAAGAAATATAAGTAATATAATGTATGCATTTATAAATTATAAGTAGATAATTAATATAAAGTAGATATATAAATATAATATATTGGAGAATAAGAGAATTAGAGAGTAGAGAGTTAAGAATAGGATTTAGGAAGAATTGGAGAAGAGATATGTCACGCCCCAGATCGCATCTAAGCGCGTGTACTGTTGGAAAAATGTGTTAAAAATTGCATTAAATGGTCATTTTGGGACAATTATTTGAGTGGGGTCCACTTCCGATTTGGGTCGGGTCAAAGTGGTTTCGGATTTTCCTTGTTAAGGGCTACAATTCGATATGTGGTACACTCAAAACGGATAACGGGTGAATGAGAAATTGATTCTCGAAGTTCACTCGTTGAAATGGAAAAACTAGGAAAATGGTGAGTTTCTAGTGTGTTTTATCCCACACCGAAAAACTCAAGGGATTTTCACCCCCTTATAAAGGGAAGCCTCTTTTAAGGAGTTAATATTCCTAAAGGGAAAGGTTCTCTCTTACGCGCAGGGGGGTGCCGATCAAATCCCGAAACGGAGAAGAAAAACCGCGACTCGTGTGCGCGAGCGACCTGCGGACACGAATGTCGTCCGGAATAGAAACCCTCGAGGTCTTCTGTTCGCAACAGAGACCCTCGAGGTCTTCTGTTCGCAACAGAGACCCTCGAGGCCTTCTGTTCGCAACAGAAGGTCTTCTGGTCCGTTACAACAATTAATGCCCAACGTTCTTCTCTTTTAATGCTGCGTTAAATGGACAGTTAATGGACGATTCAATGCCGAACGGACTGGTCATTGATGTCCAACGTTCAGGTCCATTAACACCCCATTTAACACACAACAAATGTTCATATAAATAGCTAGCAGGTGGTTTGCAATAACACAACGCACAATACATTCCTCACGTATTCTTGAGCTAAAAACACCTACAGCTACTCTGAAAATTCCTTCTGTGTTCTTACTTGGTTCACGTTCGCTGGAACTCTTGTTTGTGTGCTCAAACACTAGTTCGTAGTCATCGTATCCTGGGAAACGATTGTTGCAACGCTCCTAGCACTGTGGGAGGCAACAAATACGTTTTAAGGACATCGTGCGTAGTACGAGCTTTGACTAATTCTGCTTCATCTCCTTTCTTGTTGTTCTCTAGTCATTTTATTTAATTAATTTATTTTAATTAATTTTCTTTATTTTCCGAAACACACCCAACATGTACAACCGCCGTGTGATTAAGTGACGTCACTCGCAAGTCAACCTCACATAATCACACAAGGCGTTCATGAACATCGTTCACACCATACTCAGTAGTAAACATACATAACAACATCACATCATAGATTGAATGAATAGCGGAAAATATTCAACGGTCAATCATAAGCCACATATGGCAAAACGTAGGCTCGCAGGCCAAAACAAAGTAATATTACAAAAGTATCCATGAGCATAGTTTATGATTTAAAATAATAAAGGAAGCACGAACCACGTCTTCTTCTAGATTCTTTCCACCCGTGCAAAGGTGTAGACAACAGGCTCTAGCTTCAACCTTAAATGGTGGAGCCCCCCGAAGGGATCAATACAAGTACCGAGCGAGTAGCAAGCTAAATATAGAGTAACTAACGTTTCAAGTATAAGACCCAAACATAGGGTGATACATATACTTATACTTCCGTACCCAAAGTTACAACATATATATCAGTACTTATATACACTTGGAAATACCCGACCCAGAGGTCATTGTTTAATTGGGAAACATAATAGTAGTTAATGTCCTTGACTTAAAACCCCAACCCACCCATAGACCTATGAGTGTATAGGACTCCTCCTGTTCAAATCAAATAATCATAAGGACACCGCCCGGTCCTGAATTACTAAATAGTAATCTATGAGTTTTGAGGATACACGCCCGATCCTTGGGTACTCCACCCTATATAACCGAGTTTTGAGGATACCGCTCGATCCTTGGGTACTCCACCCTATATAACCGAGTTTTGAGGATACCGCCCGATCCTTGGGTACTCCACCCTATATAATTGAGTTTTGAGGATACCGCCCGATCCTTGGGTACTCCACCTTATATAACCGAGTTTTAAGGATATCGCCCGATCCTTGGGTACTCCACCCTATATAACCGAGTTTTGTCTACTCCTGAAAATTTCCCCTCAATTAAAAGCCAAAAAGGCCGAAAGGTCTCTCAAGTCCAAACTTACCCATTCAACTTAGCTGACTTTGGACTCAAATCACTTGACCATAATAAGGAAAAGAATGATTCATACAATGAACTGGGCAGGACTTTTCTTGTGCTTCACACTTCCATATCAGTCTCAATGAACGAAAATAGATGGAAATCTCTTCTCAGTTCCCACCAGTCAAAGCAGATTCTGAATATACCAGCTTTCAGTTTCTTTGAGAGTCGGACAAGAGGTGTTTGGATTTGATTCTTAAAACTGCTTCTGCTCCTTCAGAGAGTAGAAGCAGAAGTTGAAGTGTTTGGATAAAAGTACAGAAGTGATTCTGATGCTCTAATTTAATCCTAGAATCAGTTTTTTTAGAAGCTGGGGGTGACCAGCTTCTGAAAACTGATTCTGATTCTGCTTCTGCTTTAAAAAAGAAGCAGAATCAGAATCAGTTCCAAAACACCCCAAAAACAGTATTCAATTACTACCTATATCCCTTAAAACTTTGTCAAAGTTGACTGACACGGAGAATAATAAAGTAAAAACTGTGTGGTTGAGATTTGTGCAGAGGAGAAAAATAACAGAAACCACAAAATAATTGATTAAAAAGGAAAGTGTCAAAGTTTTTTGGAACGTCCAAAAAATGAAAGATGACAAAGTGCTCAGACTCGAGGGAGTATGTGTTTAGGGTGACTTCTTAAAGTTACGCGTCAATTGTTATCATGTAACTTCTGTAATCATAAAAACAAAAATTAGTAACCGGAAACCACCGGCCGGATTTTGTTTGACGATGTCAAAGAATCCCAAGCTAGAAGCTCATTGGCGATTCTCTTGCATGCTCGTAGGGTCCCAGCTCTCTGGAACCAAATATATACGAGCTGAATCGCCACCCGTTTCCTCGTTCAACGTGTTTCAAAGATTTGATTTTTTATACCCCAAAAAATGGAGGATGCCACAAGACATTGCCTTGCTCTTTTAATACTTGAAATATCGTTAGTCACTATTTCGTGTATGGGAGCAGTAAATGTTGATGTGGGTGTGATTCTTGATTCGGAGTCCATATCTGGAAAGATGAGAAAGGCGTGCATTTTACTTGCTCTGTCCGATTTCTACGGAGGCCGCAACCGCAACACCCAGATTGTTCCTCACTTCAGGGAGTCCAACTTGGATGATGTCGGTGCAGCATCTGCAGGTTAGTGAGGATTTCATGGTCTCTTAGAGTGTTAGTTGCATCTGTGTTAAGTGAATGGTCTTTGCATAGATGATGGATTTATGATGTTTTAAGACTGGTTTGATTCCCAATGCTAAACATACCAGACCAAACTTAAAGCATACCAGACCAGACCAAAGTAGAAAATTTCAGTCCAATCAACTTCTAATCACACCATTTGAATATGCTAGTGACAAACTTAAGCCCTATTGAGCCTTCTCTTTTCAATGTCTTCAGAATTCACATTGATCTTTTCTTTTTATTGGGAGTAATTTGCCAGTAATGTACGTATTCCTAGTCATAAACCCGAACAAATAATCTCCAAAGAAAAAATTACTTTATTGTGAAGATCAGTAGAATCATTTGATGATTACAGAACAAGGGAAGATGAAATGTTTTTTCTATTCTGAGGCGAATTAAATATGTAGTGGAGTATGTGATAGCCAAATGGCTCATGATTCTATGCGTTGATGAAAAGTTAACATGAGATTTAGAAGACTCATAGGGCCAACAGACAAAGTTTGGAGCTTATAAATGGGTTCTGTCTATGTTTTGCAGCCTCCTATTACTTTTTTTACTACTAAGCTGTACTAGTATATAATTTGAACCATTTGATTTTGTAATGCATGTTTGCAGCCACATGTTTTTCCTCCGACTTTACCATATGATGTCATGCAACATCGACATGAGATTTTTTATGTTATGATAGAAAACAGCATATAAATCTTGAAGTTGTAAGTAAGTTTTAACTAATTTTTACTTGAAGCTATAGCGTTAATTAACTTTAAAGTAGTTTCCGTCAGCCCCCCTTGTTAGGATTTCTGCTTCTTAAGCAAGGGTTCCAGCTTGGATCACTGGTGGAGGTTTTTTTCTTGATGACGGCAGAGATAGCTACTAAAAAAATGGATGAAGTAAACTTAAGAGTTAAGACTGCTACAGAGCGAGGGGTGCCCCTCAGTGGGGGTATTGGGGGTCACGAGAAGGAGAGGACAAAGGAAGGAGGGGGTGAGAGTGGTGGACATGGAGAGAGGTATATGAAGATATTGTGCAGTGAACTTTGTATCACGGATACGGATACATGGAAACATAGATATATGAATATTTCAATGAGGAGGGGATGGGGAGTAAACTTAATACTGGGTATAGAAGATGCAAATTTCATTGATTAAGGGGGTAATGTTGAACAAAAATGTTGACGTGCGGAATGATGGGTCCATGTGGAGCCGTGGAGGCATTGATTGTGGAAGGTGTGAGTGGTTGTGATGAGACAGAGGTTGACCTAGTGGGGTAAAAAAAGGGATGGAGTGGGAGCAGGTAGTGCTGGGCAGGCCCTTCTTGAATACTAGTTTGGTGGACGGCCGACGGCTACGAAACCGGCTGGTGTCATGGTGGCATCAATTTTGAGTTATGAGAGGACAATAGGTTTAATGGCCGAGATGGTTGTGTATATGCTAGCAAACGCTTATCTGGTTGAAGGAATATCAGCTTGATTTTGACTGGATGGATTTTCAGGGTTACAAGCTGCAGACTCACTTTGATGCCCTAAATCTTTTGTTTTTGTGTTATTTTTGTTGTTTTATTTGTTTTTGTTGGACTCTTCTATTTCTGGTTCAGTGGTTTGTTTGTCTGATTGTGGTAAAAATGAACTTCAACCCTGCTAAATGGTTAGCGATTTGGATTTGCTCCTGAATGAATGACGCTGTCTTTATGTCTGACCGATGAGCGTACCAGGTGTTAGTACTATTCTCACAATGTTGTAAGATCTGCCTTGTTTATATCTATTAATATGCATAAGTGGTTTTCTTTCAGAAAATATAACATAATTGAGATCAAAAGGAAGATAATGATAATGATTGATGTATGTTGCAGCTGTAGACCTGTTGAAAAATATTCAAGTACAAGCAATACTAGGTCCCCAGGGATCAACACAAGCAGATTTCGTAACAGACATAGGGAAGAAAGTCAGAGTTCCCATAATTTCATCAGCCACAAGTCCCTCTCTTTCACCCAGCCAAAACCCGTACTTCATCAGAGCGGCTTACTGCTCCTGTGCACAGGCTAAGGCCATTGCAGCAATAGTTAAGGCCTTTGGTTGGAGCGAAGTTGCTTTTATCTACGAAAGCAGCAACTTTGGAAGCGGAATCCTTCCTCATTTGGTGGATGCGATGATGGATATCAGCGTTTCAGTAGCACATCAAAGCGTTCTTTCGCCATCAGCTGTTGATGATCAGATCATGGTGGAGTTACTCAAGTTAAAGACAAAGCAGACACGTGTCTTCATAGTCCATTTGCATCCAGATTTTGCTTTTCGGTTTTTTGTTAAGGTGTGTTAAAATAATAAAAAATCTACTTCTTTTATTGATATGATGAGTTGATGACTTTTAACTTACAGTTTCATAAGCACTAAAGGGAATATCGAATGGAACCCTAAATCCTAATCAGAATACTAAAATTAGGATTGCTAACTTTCTATATACAAAATGACTATCTTCTATACTTTATTAACTAGGTGAGAGAAGCTGGAATGATGAGCAGTGGATATGTATGGATGATCACTGATGCATTCACCAGCCGTTTGGTTTCAATGGAACAGTCAGTTCATGAGTCATTACAGGGCATCATAGGTGTGAAGCCATATGTCCCAAGTTCAGCTAAGCTGAATAAACTAATCATGAGATGGAAATCAAAGGAGTTTCGTCGACTAAATCCAGACTTAGATGGAGTGGAGCTCACTGTTTTCGGTCTATGGGCTTACGACAGTGTCATAGCATTAGCAACAGCACTAGAGCAAGTAAATATTACTTCGGGTATGGAGCTGAAGAAAACAATTATTAATAAGGAGAACAACCTCACAGATTTGGATGCAATTGGGACCTCACAAATGGGGCCTTTGCTAGTTGAATCCATAAGAAACGTCAAATTCAGAGGACTAAGTGGAGATTTCCACATTCTTGATGGAGAACTTCAGCCATCTGCTTTTGAGATTGTGAATGTGATCAGCACAGAGAAAACGGTCGGGTTCTGGACAGAAAAGCATGGGATTTCCAAGAAATCTATTAACCCAAACGGTACAACTCTTTACTCTGCTAACAAACATGACCTCGGGGCAATCATATGGCCAGGTGACTCTACCACAGTTCCCAGAGGGTGGGAGATTGCCACTGATGAAGATAAATTGAAGGTTGGAGTTCCGTTCAGAAGAAAAAGAGGGTTTGAGCAGTTTGTAAAAGTCACAATTCATCCGCAGACAAATGCTGTAGAAGCAACTGGTTTCTGTATAGATGTCTTTGAACAAGTTATGAAGTCAATGCCTTATTACGTGCCATTTGAATATATACCGTTAAAAATCCCACTTGCTAATGGCAAAAACTTTCCAGAGTATGATGGTTTCTATAAGAAGGACTTCACTATGGTAAAATATAGATTGCTTCATACTAGCTACTAGCTAGCAATCATTTCTTCTAATCTTTCGTGTTTGTTCATTTCCTTAATTCTTGACAGAAGCTTGATGCTGTGGTTGGTGATATAACCATTTTATCAAACCGGTCCAAACATGTGGATTTCACATTTCCATTCTCAGAGTCTGGGGTCAGTATAGTTGTTCGGGTCAACCAAGAACACAAGAACCCATGGATTTTCTTCCAACCATTAAGGAAAGAATTGTGGCTGGTGACTGCGGCGTTCTTTGTCTTCATTGGCACTGTTGTTTGGGTGCTTGAACACAACGTAAACAAAGAGTTCCAAGGTCCTTACCACAAACAACTTGGGATGATCTTCTGGTTCTCCTTTTCAACTCTTGTTTTTGCACAAAGTAAGTAGTATTACACAGTGTATTATTAAAGTCATTGTTCTAAAAGGTGCTAGGCGCTATTTGGCCGGTGACTGGCTGCCTAGCACCTTGCCCGCCTAGTCAGGCGCCCTAAGCGCCGACTAGGGTGCCCGGGTATTTTCTTTATTTTTTTTAATTTTTTTTCAATTCCTATGAATTTCAACCACCTAATTTTACAATATTTTGACAATAGAAAGAACTCATGCGATCATTAAATGTTATGCTTTTTGTAGTAAATCATCAAAATTAAAATAATTAATACTCCCCTCCGTCCCATTTTGGTTGCCCTACTTTCCTTTTTGGGTTGTCCCAAAATGTATGTCTTGTTTCCTTTTTTGGCAAGAAATATGTGGTTCTTATCATTTTACTTTATTCTACTCAAATCTCAAGAACAACTTTTACTTTTCAACCACCTTATTAATAATCGTGCCAAACTAAAACAGGACAACCACTATGAGACGGAGTAGTAGATAAATTAAGAGATTTGTGCTTTTTAATCTTTAAAATTGTTCACATACATTCTAAAAAGTTTATATACATTTAAAAAATATTTTTTGTTGTAGGAATATGATAGTGCTTTTTATATGAATAGAGTACTTATTGATCAAATAAAGTTTTAACACAACAACAACAACAACATCCAAGCCTTAATCCCAAAAGAATTTTGGGTCGTCTAACATGAATCGATCTATGATATCGATGCCAAAAAGAGAAGATGGACAAGAAAAGGAAAAAAGTAAGATAAAATGAATAAAATAAAGATAAATAAATATAAGATAACAATAACACAAGAATATAACAAAGATAATAAAAAATAAAAGAGCATAAAAAAGCTAGAAGATAAAAATAACATAAGAATATAAAAAGATAAGGAAGATAAACGATAAAAGAAAAAAGAGAGGAAAGGTAGACAAGACATCAATCGTCCACACGGATGTGCGCCCTCCACTTTGCTCTCTCCAAAGCCATACTCTCATCCAACCCAAGAAGACGCATATCAGTTCTGATTCCTCTAATCCAAGTCTGTTTGGATCTTCCCCTCCCTCTCTTCTCTGACTCTTCTCCCCACCCCTCAAGTCGTCTAACAGATGCATCACTCGGTCTTCTACGCACATGCCCAAATCACCGCAAACGAGACTCCTGCATCTTATCTTCTATAGGTGCTACTCCCACCTTTTGTCTGATTTACCTCATTCCTCAAGCGGTCTTTTCTAGTATGTCCACACATCCAACGCAACATACGCATCTCTGTCACACTCATCTTTTGAATGTGGCATTGCTTCACCGCTCAACACTCTACGCCATACATTAATGCTGGCCTAATTGCTGTACGATAACATTTACCTTTCAGTCTAGTCGGCATACCTCGATCGCATAGAAATCCTGAAGCACTTTTCCATTTCATCCACCCCGCTTTGATTCTATGGCATACATCTCCATCTAATTCACCATCATTTCATCCACTGTTGCTACTGTTTCTACCTCCACCGAACTTGCACTCCATATACTCAGTCTTGCTAAATGAAGTTTTAACACAAAACGGAAAAAATAAATTGGATCGAGAACAAATTTACCCCGAGCCGTCTAGCCATCGCCTAGTTGCCCGCCTAGCCCGCCTTGGCGGCTGACCGATTGTTCCCACCGATTACCATAAAATTGGGGCGCCCTGCCACCGCCTAGCGCCTAGGCAGGCGCCTAGGCCGATTTTTAGAACCATGATTAAAGTTTTGGGATTCTGGCTAATAGCAAACCAATGTGCTCAGTTTAGTTAAGTTTATCAAGATCGAATTGTTTGCTTTAACTTAACATGGTCTGACATAATACAATTTTAAGTCGTGAGGTTCCATCATGAAAACTCGACGTGATAGTAAAAGAAAGTATGTTACTTTTTATATTTGTATTTTTCCGATATGTGCCTCTTATCTCTGTTTTAAAATTTCTTTTCACTTGATTCTACCATAAATCAAGCTACCTGCTATGTTGTTGTTGTTGCAGGAGAGAGATTAATAAATAATTTATCGAAATTCGTGATTATAGTTTGGGTGTTTGTGGTGTTGGTTCTGACATCTAGCTACACAGCAAGTTTAACATCTAAGTTAACTTCCAAAAAGTTGCAACCCACTGTCACTATTGAAGAGCTTATAAAAAATGGAGAGTATGTGGGATACCAGTACGGTTCTTTTGTTGGACATATGTTAAATAATAAGTTTGGGAGCACAAAAATGAGGGGTTATAGCACATTAGAAGAATATGATGTGGCACTCACCAAAGGAAGTATAAATGGCGGAGTTGCTGCTATTATGGATGAGCTACCCTATCTCAGGCTCTTGGTTGGGAAGTATTGTGGCAAGTATGCTTTAGTTGGTCCAACCTACAAGACGTCTGGATTTGGATTCGTAAGTTGTCTAGTCTAATGTTGGACTTGGAATAACCGGAGTTAATTGTTTCAGCATAAAGATTAGTTATTAATTGTGGTGGTTTCCATTAAAGTATCGTTTAAAGATTTACCTACACATAAACCATCACATAAGTGTTGGATTTCCTAACCTTTTTTTGGCTCATTGCCTAACCTTATTCCCCAGGTTTAAGCTTGTGAGTTGAGACTCATACTTAGGCTCTTAAGTTTTGTTGGGTTTATTTCATGAAAATTCAAAATATGACTGAGAGATGGATTCTCTTTGAGACGAGACCAAAATATTATACTTTAAACAATGCATTTAAGTATTTCATTGTCTCACTATCTTAGTCTCATCTTTTTTCGGCCCTACTAAATTGGTGTCAAACCATATCTCATACATGTGTCAAGTTTATATATGCTTTTACAAATTTAATACCCAACAACATAGTCTCACTTTCATTAATGTGCGTGTAACTTTCTCATATCCTAAAGATAGTAGGAAGAGGTAGTACTTTTCAAAAAACAGAACATTTACATTTTGACACGTCTCGCCCGTAGACCTCACAAAACAAGATGTGCAAGTTGTCTAATGTTGGATTGGAATTTCGCAGGCATTCCAAATGGGGTCTCCATTGGTGCCTGATGTCTCCAGAGCAATATTACGTGTGACAGAGAGTGAGACTATGAGGAGGATAACCGGTGAATGGTTTGGGGATGGAACAGATTGTTCACAGAAAGATGACACCATGTTGGGTTCAGTGGACTGCTTTAAAGGCCTTTTCATCATTGCTGGCTCATCTGCATCATTAGCTCTTCTCATATTCTTCTGCTCCTTCCTCTATCAGAACAAGGATATCTTAACATCTGATATTCCAATCTCTCAAAAGATTTTTGCATTAGTAAAATCTTTTTGTGAAGAAAAGAGGACATTTGGGGAGTCTGATAGGAAGCCAAGTGAATTCATAGAAGGCAGGAGTAATGCCTGCTGAACTCTATCCACAAACCAGGCATTGAAAATTCTCCATGCCACACTTTTTTGTAGCAGCAGCATAGGTGACCCTAGAAAGACGAGGCATAAAATTGTATGTTGACCGTTTTATGAAGCTGTCCATATATTCAGAGTTCCGAGTTGAATCAATCAACACAACACATAATCTGATAATGTAAATTTTATTCCGTGCCAAATGAGCCTTTAATCCCCTTATTTGATTGTACATTCCAGTTTTTTACAGTGTATTACCAATTAAATTTGATTGCACATTCCAGTTTTTTTACAGTGTATTACCAATTAAATTTGATTGCACATTCCGGTTAAAATTTGACATGAAAAAATTATAACCCAAACTTAAGAAAATTAACTATCACGAAGCAAATGAGTTAATGAGGTTTTTTGAAAGGTCCCCTTTTTACACGTATACGTTACAGGGACTTGGAGGAAAGATAGAAGTTTTACGGGATAATATTTTTACAGATTTTATTATAGAACCCGATGCGTGTTTAATGAGAAAGAACATTCAATTATTTATTAAATCACAAATTATTAAAAATAATGACAATATGATATACAGAGTATAAAGTACGAGAATAAGAGAACGTTCAGATGACTATAGTGATGCAGTTAGAAGAATTTTTTCAGATAATTTGTATACAGATTTTTACACATGAACTATATTTCCCCCCATATTTGGAGTAGGTAGGGGCTTAGCATGCCCCGTTAACTTTGCTTTTAGGTTTAGTTCTGTTATAGAAAAAATAAGTGTAGCTTCTAAAAATGTAAGTATGATTTTTAACACTTGTATAAATAGTAACAAGAAATAAAAGTTTTTACTTCCAAATGGAACAGAAGGATGGAAGTATGGAACCAAGAGCTGTCACATAATGCTGTTACTGCATGTTCAACATTTTGTTTGTAAAAAAATAGAATCTCATTTTTAGTTCTGCAGCAGTGTCATAAATTTCCAAGACGCGTTCCTGCAAATATCTTGCTCTGGAGTCTACATTTGCATTCAACCAATCTCAGAACCTTGTTTCAGCTTTTAGTTCCTCCCTAGTCCCTACTACTATTCAATAATTCGTGTACTCACTTTTCTTGCACAAATAGTCCAACTAAAGTTCCGCCCAACAGCTCAAAAAACTGAATATCAATCAACTGCAAATACAATCTATACCTCGACCGCTACTAGCAAGTATTGTCTGTATTTAAGAGAGATCGAATTTATAAGATCTGCAAAGCATTCTTCTTTCCTTAGTATATGCAAACTGTGCAACAGTGCAAGTCCACCATTTTCATATCATAATTAACAGTTTCAGCCCCAAACACGGCCAAGGCCAGACATATAATCCCTTTTATTATTATTGGGTAAGTGTATTCTTTTATCACATTTATACTTTGATAGACCTTTTCGGCCCGTTCAGTAATAGACCTTGATGTCCTCCTGACCTTATATAGTTGTGTAACTTGTGTTGCTAACCTTTAAGAGCCTGAACTTCAAAGAAAGTTGTGGTCGACTTGGACGTGTTGTTTGTCCAAACACTTTAAGTAGTAATGTGATAACATAAATGAGGAAAGTTGTAAGCGGTTTATTGTATGATAAATCTACAAAAATCAAACCTAACACTATATATTACACAGCATACCAAAGCCAATCAGGATGTTTTTGAAATACTTGTTTATCTTTGATTCCTATAGGGAGTGTTTGCTAAAGCTTTTAAAAAGTGCTTGTCAGCTTTTGACTTAGAAAAAGCTGAAAAGAGTGTTTTCAAATGACAGCTTCTGCTTAAATTAATCACTTGAAAGCTAAAAGCTGGAAGCAGGTGAAAGAGTGTTTTAAACTGCTTTTCACTTTTTCTATTACACAAAAAGCACTTATTTGACCAAACACTACCGACTTTTACTTTTTCGAAATTATTTTTTCTCAAACACTACTAACTTTTACTATTAAGTACTTTCTCCAAAATCACTTTACAAAATCAATTTGTTGAGGGACAATGAAAAACTTCGCTTGAGTTCAACCAATTTTCTTTAACTCCGTCTTTTAAAGTATTTGGCTCGATATACATGGATCATTTTAAAGTTTTTACTCCGTAGTATTTTTCAAGGGTTAAAAAACATACAGAGTATAAATATAAAAAGAGTCCCGCTTCGTGTACACGCCGGGTTACACGCCAGTCAAATTGTCTGTATACAGACAATTTGATCGACTAGACAGACAATTTCACTGACGTTTTAAGCAGAAAATCGATATCCATACATACAAAATATAAAAAGTTGTCTTTATCACAGACATTTTAGACCTGATTTTTTCATAAAGTGTTTGTGATACAGACATTTTTTTTATTTTTGTCTGTGTGAAAAACGATTTTCTTCGTAAAACGCCGCTCAACATGTCTGTGTAGCCGATCAAATTGTCTATACACAGACAATTTGACAGGCGTATAACCCGGCGTATTTGCCCCAAACTTTAAAGAAGTCCTAGGATTATTGCTGTATCCAATCCCAATGTTCCAAAAAACGTCTTATCAAGGTCTATCAACCTGACAGCTATTTAATGAAACAAGGAAATGAAGATTATTATTACGGCTTAAGTGGACTTTGTCTTCAGTTTCAGACCAGTGGACAACAAGTTTACAAGTGCCTCTTCGAAATTGTCAAATATAAAAAAACTCTAAACGACTCAACGAATTATTTTTTCGAAATTGTCAAAGTAAACTCTAAACGACTAAACGAATTATTCAGACTGTCAAATCCCAAAAACTCATACATATTGAGCAGAGCTGCTACCAGCTACCTCATCATTCCATGCGTTACAAAGTTCAAGGTTTTCCAACATGGAGGCTGCAACAAGATATTTAATTTTTCTTACAATTGTTGGAATATCATTCATAATCTTTCCCACACCAGCAGTAGGCGATGGCAAGAATGCTAGCACAGTAAAGGTTGGTGTGGGTGTGATTCTTGATTTGGAGTCCGTATCTGGAAAGACGAGAAGGGCATGCATTACACTTGCGCTGTCTGATTTCTACACCCACCGCAACCACAGCAATGGCAGAATACAGATTGTCCCACACTTCAGAGACTCCAACTCCAATGATGTTGGTGCAGCATCTGCTGGTCGGTAAAGACTTCATAGTCTCGTGTCGTGCCAAGCATGTATTGATGTTTAGTGTCAACAATGCACACTTGTCACGATTCTAGTCTTTCCATTCCATAGGTCGGGGTTGACCTGGTCCAGTTTCAGTTACAGGTCATGAGAAGGGAGGAACCGGAACAAGGACCTGGCTTGGACCAGTCCGGTTCCATAACTGGGTCGACCTCTACTCGCAAGCCCACATCTCATTGAGTAATGGGCAAACGAGATTGTATGTTATCTTCTAATTACTTGTTAAAGAGTTCATCTATGAGTCTAACATTTCATTAGCGATGTATATTTGCAGCCATAGACCTGCTGAAAAATAATCAGGTACACGCAATCTTAGGTCCCCAGGGATCGACCCAAGCAGACTTCGTAACAGACATAGGGAAGAAAGTGAGAGTTCCCATCATTTCACCAGCCACAAGTCCTTCTCTTTCACCCAGCCAAAACCCATACTTCATCAGAGCAGCTTACTGCTCCTGCGCTCAGGCCAAGGCCATTGCAGCAATTGTTAAGGCCTTTGGTTGGAGACAAGTCGTTTTTATCTATGAAAACAGCAACTATGGAAGTGGAATTCTTCCCCATTTGACTGATGCCATGATGGATATAAGTGTTTCAGTAGCACACCAAAGCATTCTTTCACCATCAGCAGATGATGATCAGATCATGGTGGAGCTACTTAAATTAAAGACGATGCAGACACGTGTTTTCATAGTCCACTTGCATCCACACTTTGCCCCTCAGTTTTTTGTCAAGGTGTGTAAATATAACAAACTATGGTACGCTACTTCTATTCATATGACTCGTTGACCTCATTTTCCAACATTAGTTAAGGTGCTCCACATGCCTTGAGTTCCACACTAAATAAAGTGGGCACATTAAAGTATCCCACACGAGGTCTCAAAAGTAATACCTTGATAGTGAAATAACGTCTCCAAATCCAATAGGAACATGAAACTAAACCTTAAACCTAATGAGTATACGAAATTAAAGTAATACAAGTAAAGCATGAAACAATGTTTACTAAAGTTCAATAAAATGACTATTTTATATTACTTTAACAAGGTCAAAGAAGCTGGAATGATGAGCAGTGGTTATGTATGGATGATCACAGATGAATTCACTAGTCATTTGGTCTCTATGGAGGCTTCAGTTCTTGACTCATTGCAAGGGGTTATAGGATTGAAGCCTTACGTCCCAAGTTCAGTTGAGTTGAATGACTTCATCAGGAGATGGAAATCAAAAGAGTTTCGTCAACAAAATCCAGACATTGATGGAGTGGAGCTCAATGTTTTCGGGCTATGGGCATATGACAGTGCCATGGCATTGGCTACACAACTTGAGAAACTAAACACTTGGAGTCTGAAATTTAACAGAACATTTATTAATAAGGAGAATCCAACAGATTTGGATACAATTGGGACTTCACAAATGGGTCCTTTGCTACATGAATCCATAAGAAATATCAAATTCAGGGGACTAAGTGGTGATTTCCACATAGTTGATGGAGAACTACAGCCATCTGCATTTCAGATTGTGAATGTGATAGGTAGAGAGAAACAGATTGGCTTCTGGACACAAAAGTATGGGATCTCCAAGAAACTAATTAACCCAAACAGTACAAACCTTTACTGTGCTAAGGCAAATGATCTCGGGGCGATCTTATGGCCAGGAGACTCTACTGCTGTTCCAAGAGGCTGGGAAATCCCCACAGGTGAACTAAGGTTGAAGGTAGGAGTTCCTGTTAAAACAGGATTTCAGGAGTTTGTTGAAGTCAAAAATGATCCCCAGGGAAACACTGTAAAGGTATCTGGTTTCTGTGTAGATGTTTTTGAAGAGGTGATGAAGTCTATGCCTTACTCTGTGCCATTTGACTATATAGCAGACCTTTACCCACGACGCAAAGACCATCCATACTATGACCACTTAGTTGATCAGGTCTCCATTGGGGTAAATACTGAATGTATCAACCTACCACTGCTTCCTTCATTTGTTCATTTACTTTAGTTACGTTATATTTATAATGTCACACTTGCACTTCTTTACTCTTTTGGCAGAAATATGATGCAGTAATTGGTGATATTACCATCTTATCAAAGCGTTCCAAAAATGTGGATTTCACTTTACCATTTGCAGAGTCCGGGGTCACCACTGTTGTTCCCGTCAAACAAGATGAAAAAAAGAACGTGTGGATTTTCTTGAAACCTTTCAAGACAGAACTATGGGTGACAACTGGTGTGTCCTTCGTCGTCATTGGCTTTGTGATTTGGATCCTTGAACACAAGGTCAACAAAGAGTTTCAAGGTCCACGCCACAAACAAGTTGGGATGATCTTCTGGTTTTCTTTCTCAACTCTTGTCTTTGCACACAGTAAGTTCTAAAGACTACCTACTCCCTCATCAATTCCATAAAAAAGAGTCGTGTTTGAGTAAGTTGCGACTTTTTACTTTTAGTCATCTCAATCAAGTTACAAGCTTTTTTCACAAATTGCAGAGGAGAGGGTAATAAGTAACTTATCAAGATTCGTGATCATAGTATGGGTGTTTGTTGTTCTGGTCCTGACATCAAGCTATACGGCAAGCTTAACATCTATGTTAACAGTACAACAGTTGCAACCTACAGTCACTGATCTCAACGATCTGATCAAGAATGGGGGGCATGTTGGATTCCAGGATGGTTCCTATGTTGCTGGGATGTTAAAGAGGATGAAGTTAGAGAGCAACAAAATGAGGAATTATAGCAAATTAGAAGAGTATGATGAAGCACTTACGAAAGGTAGTAGAAACGGCGGAGTTGATGCTATTGTGGATGAACTGCCATACATTAGGCTCTTCCTTGCAAAGTATGGTGAGAAGTACACTATAGTTGGCCCAACCTACAAGAGTGCTGGCTTTGGATTTGTAAGTTCTTTTATCTTGATAACCAGAACCATCCACTCAGATCATTAAGGCTATGTTTGGGGCTAGGGTTTTGGAGGGGAGGGGTTATTTTTCATTGCTTTAACTTAGCAGTTCTCAAAACAAAAAGATAAAAGATGATACATTCATTAGAAACTGAGTGTTCTATTCATTTATTAATTAAGATAAATCACGTATAACCCTCGTCCAAATTCTAACACCCGAGTGATTATTGCTTAAAATTAGCAGTTCTTCAAAACCAAAGCCAAATAAAGATAAAATAGAAACTGATTATTCTATTTACATACGAAATACTGAGTATTAGGGGGTGTTTGGAACCGATTCTGATTCTGCTTCTTTTTTAAAGAAAAAGCAGAATCAGAATCATTTTTCAGAAGCTGGTCACCCCCAGCTTCTGAAAAAACTGATTCTAGGAGTAAATTAGAGCACCAGAATAACTTCTGCACTTTTACCCAAACACTCCAACTTCTGCTTCTGCTCCCTGAAAGAGCAGAAACAGTTTTAAGAATCAAATCCAAACACCCCCTTAGTTAAGAAAAATCATATATCATCCTCACCTATCCCCTCCACATTCGATCACCTAAACATAGCCTGGGTGTGGGGCTTTTTCTCATTGTTGCAGGTTTTTCCGAAGGGATCTCCTTTGGTACCTGATGTCTCAAGAGCAATCTTAAATGTGACAGAGAGCGATGCTATGATGAAAATAACCAGTAAATGGTTTGGGAATGAAGCAAAAGATGAAACCATGGTTGCTTCTGACAGCCTGGAACTGGACAGTTTCAAAGGCCTGTTCACCATTGCTGGTGTATCTGCAACTTTAGCGCTTTTCATATTCTTCTGCTCCTTCCTTAACCAGAACAAAGGTATCTTCACATCTGATATCTCAATCTGGCAAAAGCTTTCTGCATTGGCAAACGCGTTCTTTAAAGAAAAAGAAGATTTGCCTGGAGAGTCCAAAAAGCCAAAAGAAGGTTCTGTTTCCTCCCCACAGCCACTGCCTACACTTCATGAACTGCAAAGACCGGACACTAGAACTGCACAAACCCCAGAGCAAGACACTTCCACTCAGGATGAGATTCTGGATCCACATATAACCGAACAGACAAGTCCTGGTTCATCACCGTCTGCAGAAAGCTGAAGCATAAAGATCTTACAATTCTTACTATATTTAATTCTAGTAGCAACGGTTTGCAATTCTTAAGCCGCTTTATCTATGGTTCAATTTCCTATGGTTGCAATAAAATAAAACGAGAGAATTCTTGCAAATAACAATAGAGTTAGTCCTAACAATCTCGTAATCCGCCCGGTTTAACGTCTAACTATTTCTTTAAAATAGATTATAAGGATGTTTTTACTTTGGACTGTAATTTGCTGGTCTGGTCTGGTCTGGTCTGTTTTGGTCTGGTCTGGTCTGGTCTGAAATTTTATTTTTACATTTTTTGCATAAAGATTTTATTTTATATATATATATTATAATCCATAAATAATTATATTTTATTCATTTATAATTACAAATAACAATAACAATAACAACAACAACAACAATAATAATAATAATAACAATAATAATAATAATAATAATTAGGGGTGTGCACTATCCGGTTTAAACCACAAAACCGGACCGAACCGGATCGGAAAAACTGGAACCGGGTCGAACCGGAATGATATCCGGTCCGGTTCGGTACGGCCCGGTCCGGTTTTGAACCGGTGCACACCCCTAATAATAATAATAACAATAATTATTATTATTATTATTATTATTATTATTATTATTATTAGGGGTGTGCACTAGCCGGTTTAAACCGGAAACCCGGACCGAACCGGATCGGAAAAAACGGAACCGGATCGAACCGGAATGATATCCGGTCCGGTTCGGTACGGTACGGTCCGGTTTTGAACCGGTGCACACCCCTAATAATAATAATAATAATAATAATAATAATAATAATAATAATAATAATAATAATAATAATAATAATAATAATAATAATAATAAAATATGGTATGGTCTGTTTTAGTCTGGTCTGGTCTAGTCTGTTTGGGTCTGGTCTGGTCTAGTCTGAACGAATTACAGTCCAAGTAAAAACAACCTAAGATTGACATGACATATTTGGACAAAATTGACTTAAATACAAGAAAAAAATAACGACACGTAAGCTATAATCATGATTAGGAGGTTGTCAACGAGTATTTTTAACTCATCTGATTGCTTTTATATGTAGATGTATTTTTCAAGGGGTCCGAACAACGGCCTGAGTACACTGGTTGATGTGAGCTTTCTCGCAATATAACTAGTATTTCACTCGTGCGTTGCACGGGGCACCAAATTATATTGAAGCCATCCAATTACCCTAGTAAATTGTATTATTTTGAAAACTTTGTATAAGTATGATAACAAAGATTAACATCTTTTAGTGACTTTTAGTGACTGATTCTCACGGATCTAGGGACTTGAGCATTTGAATTTTCCGAATATGAAGACGTTAGAAAAGAATCAAACAAAGATGTTAATTCTAAAAGAACAAAAGGAGAAGGGAACTACAATAATATTACCCTAGTGCCACTCAACAACAACAATAACATTACCCGAGTACCACAGAAGCTTTCACCTATAATAGTTACCAATAATGAAAAGAATAAGTGGGAACTACAATAATATATCCGTTGTAAAATTTCACCTTAATACATATCCATTGTGCACAAATATATTGTACTTGAACACCTTTGTCTTTAGATTTATTCATTGTTATGCATGGTAGAGCTAAACCACATCTCTGACATGAACGAGTTTGTTTACTTTTAGATGCATCCTGCAGAGATGAAACCTTTTTTTTTTTTGAATTTTTTTAGAAAATGACTTTCCAATGGTTTTGCCAAAAAGGTAAAAAGTCTCAAACACCATTGGTTTGAGACTTTAGAGTAGGTCTACATTCTTCTTCACATCTTTCAAAATTAGTGTATAAAATTACCAGACCCTTCAGAACCCCTTCTAGTACCCACTGCAAAGATAATCTCCAAAACTTGTCTTGGGAGAGGAACTACACTCTAGCTCTTGATTGGATCATGTGTCCTCTGATTGGTTTCCTAGTGATGTTGTCCCTTGCAAATTTTAAAAATGGGATTAAACATGTACTTACAAAGCAACATAGAAATATATATTGTCACATTAATTATGATGGTTTAATAAAATCATAATGATGTTGTGTTTTAATTTTTGCACCTAAAAGTTGCACAGACTACATTAATAGTGACTGGTGGCCAATTAAAAATTAAACTGTATGAGCAAAGATTATAACATAGACAGAGTAGAAGTTGAGGCAATGGAAATCAAAAGATATAATTTTGAAACTAAAGGGATAAAAAAGAAAAACTAAAGTGGAGACCCGACTCCGAGTGAAAACACAAAACTGAAAATACTTGCATCTATGTGATTTACAGTCTTACAGATAAAGTAAACTGCAAATTTATGAAGTATGAGCCGATTTTAGCTCCACTCCAATAATCCCTAATTGCCATAACTGTGGCGTTATGTCAAAACCTAAGAAGAGAATACAATCATTAAAAAGAAGAAGCAAACGGAGTAATCTTAAACCATTGTGCCAAGGCATTCTATAATGTTTTCATTTATCATGTCGTTTAATGAACTAAAATCTATCATTTTATTGAAAAGTAACGATTTACCGAAATGCACAGTGGCACGTTCGGACACATTTGGTATGTGTCTAAACAATAACACAATCCTGTTATAGTTTTCGGTCTAAATCCTGACACCGATAATTACAAAACTTTAGGTTATCTTGAAAAAAGTTTTTATCATAGGAGACTGACTTAAATTTTTTAATTAAGTATAGATAGATCGATTATACGTCAAATAAGAGTATGAATTAAAGTATTCTTGTTTAGTGGTTGCTGAGGAAACCACTACAAAAAGGAAAACTAAAACATGTTAATAGTTCTTCTATTAGAAACAAATGAGTTATACTTTCCGAAAAAGTAATGATAGTTCAACGTATAAAACTTTCTCTTCCTTTTTGACTGAAAGTATTGTCTCATCAATCCAATACACCACTACAAAAAGGAAAACTCAAAGTTGTTAATAGTTTTTCAGTTAGAAACAAATGAGTTATATTTTCAGAAAAAGTAATGATAGTCCTACTTATAAAATTCTCTTCTTTATTGACCGAAAATGCTCTCTCCTCACACCTAAGCCCCGCTTAGGCGACACGTCGCTAAAATGGGAATTGATACTTTTAAGCTTATTTATAGATACTATTTTCTTTAATATTTTAAAATATATACTCCAGGGCTGCATAGCCATATGTACGTATCACTCTCATGGAAACGTGAGTCTTTCATTCAAGCGAATTCATTTCATTTTCATTTTCATTTACCCCAGTGCCGCAAAGGCTCCCACCTACAGTGGGGTAAGGGGGGTCGGATGTACGCAGTCTTACCCCTGTACTAAAGCACAAAGAGACTGTTTCCGGATGACCCAAAGTGAAAATCCCGTCCAAAATTGCATGGACTGACAGCTGTTTCATAACAAAGAAGCGCAGACAATTTAGTGAGTCATTTTGCTTTATTCCATCATAATCTCAAGCCAAAAAATAATGAATCTTTGGCTCCATTGCAAAAGACTATCTCATTCAACCGAATGAATGACTAAAATCATAAGCAAATTATAATATATATTAGAAGTCTTTTTAGTACATACTCCATACACTACAAATGGTTGAAAGACTTTTTATAGGTTACGTGCACTACTTGTGAAAATTTATGCAATTTGTTAAAAAACCTTCTTTTTCGCAAATCATATTGTGGGATTGATATATGGTGATCAACATACTCTTTAATGATTATCATATCTGGTTTTAAGTTATCCGTCTTAGGTTGGACCATGCAAGACTACCGATTTCAGTTGGAAGAATGCTTAACCACATAAATCCATCTTCTGCAGGGGCAACAGAGACAACACCAGAGGCAAATGCAGCTCGAACGCTCATTTTATCTAGCCCTTGTAACCTTACATGGGAAACCCATTATTTTAGAACCCAAAACTTCCATGGGAAAATAATTATTTTTGAACTGAAAATTACAACAATTAGACAACTAACCTAGCTATTTGTATCAATACAAATGTTAACTGCAATCTATGTATATTAACTAAGAATATTCCTAAGTCCCCTTCCGTGCTTCCACTATGATCTTCTAAAGTTTTTTTGCTGAATTATTGGCTAAGATTTGTTTGAATCTTTGTAAAAGGTTTGAATAAGAGGCTACCTTGGCTGTAAATTTATAAAACGATGACATCAGCAGAATATGCATTAGAGAACAAAACCTGAGGGCCTATGAAGAATTTATAGACACTTACCATTAGTCGAATAAGCAAAAATATGGTGTTTAAGTCATATATGAGCCGTTTTAGCTGCTCAAGTTGTCTGATAGAGAGCAGGAAGAGCATGGGGCGTGAACGATTTACCCCGTTGATTTCTATTTTTCTGTTCACATCATTGTCACTCCTCATGTTAAGTTACAAAAATAAGAGCACAAATCATGATGGTTTTTTTACCAAGTAAATAATTCAGATATAAGAATTACAACTGGCCAAGTGGGTAAGAAACGGAAGACCTACCACTAATGGACATACACATTACATACACTTTTAAATTGTACACCAATGTTTAAAAAACTTGAGGCTAGTATTTCAGCAAAACTTGTTGTCCTTTACTCTGAACTATTTATTGACCAACTGTTTAATTAAAAGGGTTCTTAAAAACATATCTGGACACATACCTTATAAAAACCATACGATTACCCAGATTTTCTATTAAAACAATTGCAAGGGTAAGGGGTAGGTAACCATGCGATTATCCTGATTTGTTGGGAGATAGCAGTCAATCCAAAATCAGAAAATTTGAGTCTCGAAGCGGTATATGGTAGCAAACTCTCTGGATGCAAAAACAAATCAATCCATAAAGTTATATGTTATGCATTCTTATTATGTTTCATAAGACTGCAAGAGCAGCGAGTAATTCCTAAGAAATAATTATTATGTTTCATAAAATCCTGGTGGAGGATTCCCTTACTGTGACAATAATCAACCGCTTTTATTAAGTGCTGGAAATATTTCCTTGTGTCGTCTTCCTTCATTCATCCAGGAGTAATGTGATAGGAAAACTGATTTCGTAACAGTGAAACAATCACTATTATTGAACAGAATTGCAGAAAAGAATAAGAAGGTATAGACAGGGCACTTCGAGAGGCCTCAACTCTCCCAGATCCCAATTTCCCAATTCTAAAATCTGCCTCCCTTTATTCTATTCCCAGCTACTATTTATAATACTTTGTTTACGGGCCGGCCCATAATAAAATTAATACCAGGCCTAGACCCCCTTTAACATAATAGAAACTATGTAACATTATTTTATTATTATTATACTAATAGGTTCCTATCATATCTCCCCCCTTAGACAACCACCTTGTCCTCAAGGTGGGTGATAGGAAACAGCCTTAACTTCCGACTTCATCTTCATCCTGGCACCTCTTCCTTCCCAATACATCTCGAATTTCTGGACCATGATCTTCATTACTTGACCCTTCATCACCCCTTTTGAACAAAGCTGTCCACAACCCGGTTTCACCAGATTCTCTTCAGAAAGAGGTATGCTGTAACTCTGGAGAACATAATGATTGTTCTCTTGCTCAGGTTTCTTGGTAGAGCAGCAAATGTTCTCATAAAATTGCAACTCTCTGGGGTTTGTCAGTATGAAAAAGGAACAGAGTTCATTGCTTTTCATATCACAAACAATTGGTACTGTAATAATACCTCCAAACAGCCTCATATTTTGCACTCCGGCACCCTCTGTGTTTGGCTGTAGCCTATTCTCAATAATGTGGTGAAGATTTTGACCAGGTCCTTGTGAAGCATTAGAATTATTAACATTTTGAGAAGTGACAGGGAGAACTCTACCAAAAACCTTGTTGGAGAATTCCATAGAACCTTTAGAAGCATCAGAAGCTGGGCATCCAAGAGAAACATGAACTGCAGTTGGGCCAATTTCAGGTCCAGCGACCACTGACAATTTCTCCTCGTTTTCATTGTCGCCTTCAGTGAACTTCTTTGCATTTTCTTCAAATTGCGAAGCACTCATTGCATTTTCTCCAAATTGCGAAGCACTCTTAGCGTCGGAGGAAGGTTGCTGCAGATTAATGACTTTCAAACTGAGCTGTGAAGCTTGTGAAGTGAGAGACTCTGCTGGCGATTCCTTCTGGCTTTCATTGTTGCCCTCAGTGAACTTCTCTCCATTTTCTCTGGATCGCGACACACTCCTATCTGTAGAGTAAGATTGCCGTCCACTAACAAACTCCTGTGGGACTGATGAAACCTGCGCACAGTGAGAAGTGTTTTGCGACAAAACCTGTGATGAGAACTGCGAACTGAGAGAAGTCGGGCCTTGAGCCCTGAGAACTGAGACCTGCGAACTGGTAGACTGCAATTGCGAAGAAGTTCGCGATTTCGAACTTTGAGATGAAGATCGCGAAGAAGAAAATTTCGATTGTGAAGAAGAAAATCTCTGAATCTGTTCATTCAATACGGCCATATAAGTCGCGAAGTGGCTCTGAATCTGTCCGTTCATCGCTGTCAGAGAAGCTGCGATGTTTTCCATTTCCGTCCTCTCCCGTTCCGACGTATGAACACGGTTTTCCATTTTTTTTTTCCTCGTTCTGACCATCCACCTCTGTAACACAAACTAGGTTGCAATCGAGATTCAATTTCCGATACCCAAGAGCAACTGCTCTGATACCATTGATAGGAAAACTGATTTCGTAACAGTGAAACAATCACTATTATTGAACAGAATTGCAGAAAAGAATAAGAAGGTATAGACAGGGCACTTCGAGAGGCCTCAACTCTCCCAGATCCCAATTTTCCAATTCTAAAATCTGCCTCCCTTTATTCTATTCCCAGCTACTATTTATAATACTTTGTTTACGGGCCGGCCCATAATAAAATTAATACCAGGCCTAGACCCCCTTTAACATAATAGAAACTATGTAACATTATTTTATTATTATTATACTAATAGGTTCCTATCATAATGAATTTGGCTAGTGTTCATATTGGAATTAAGAAGAGAACAAATATGCATTCAAGTTTATGAAACAACTCAAAACCTGTTTATATTTAGACCTCAATTCCCCGGATTTGCTGGGAGAGAGCAGTCAATTCAAAATCAGAAACTTTGAGTCTCCAAGTGGTATATGGTAGAAAACTCTCTGGCTACAAAAGCCAATAAATATTACTCGTATTCTATTTCCACTCATAGAGTATCGAACATTCAAGCCTTAAGAATTAAGTTAACAACCTTTAAGGTTTTTTTTCAATACATTATTGTTTTCCCTACTGGAGCTCTAGTATGATAATATGATATAGACTGATATCTCAAATCCGGTGCTAAAATCACTTTTTTGTATTACTTTTGGGAAAGGAATTTATAACTACATTAGATTGTCGGTGTGTCAATCAAGCCATGTGGATAAAATGAGCAGCAAGATACCTCTAGATGGTAATGATTTGATTTTAGAAGGTACTAATTGTAAAATCTAGAAACCTCAATTGGTCACATTAACCTCATTGAGCCTTAATGACCAAGAACTTCTGCAACCTCACTTAGAAATCTATCCTCTGCACGGGCAACAGAGACAACACCGGAGGCAAATGCAGTTTGAATGCTCACTTTATCTAGCCCTTGTACCCTTACTATTTTAGTAAAAAAAAGGATGCACCCAATCCCTGAGAGTCCCCAACTCCGACCGGACGGTAAAAAGGATGACCAACCCTTACTATTTTAGTGGTACCATGTGCAGAGTACATCTTTTCACCTAACTATTTCAATGGCACCATTAAAATACATTGAAGTTTTATATAAATGAAAACTAAAAAGTAAGCAACAAAGACTCATTTTATACTTCACGTTGCTATTGCAGTGGTAACATTAAAGTACATTAAAGCTTTATACAAATCAAAACCTATTCACCAAGACATTATGCTTATAAAATTAAATCTACTACTTGAAAGCTCAACCTTTTTTAAAACAAATGATGCGATCAAGTTAAAAGAAAGCAGTAAATAAAGTAGAACAGGTTCCACTTATAGAGCTTCTTAGATTTAAAAGACAGCAATAGCATCGAAAAAAAGAACATAAAGAAAGCAGAGGATCCTATTAAGGCTACTAATAATTTTAGCCGGTGATGGAGGTGAGACCTACGGCGAGGATGCTAATAAGCTAATGATTGTCCGTTGAGATGGACTATAGAATCAGTCGGATACCTGGAAAATAGAAGGAGAGCACATATACATCGGGATGCCTGAGATCTCTGAAGTCAGATACTTGGAAGTCACTGAAGAAGAAATAAATTGAAAAAAGTGTTGGGCTTGTTTCGAAAAAACGAAGAAATATTAATCAATAAAAATTAATTAATAAATAAAATAGCCCAAGAAAAACAGAAAATGAGATGGAACAGAGTTTAGCCAAAGCTCGTGCTACGCACGATATACTTAAAACGTATTCGTCGCCTCCCACGGTGCTAGCTAGGAGCGTTGCAACGACCGTTTCCCAGGATACGGTGGCTAACGAACTAACGTTTGAGCACACAAACGAGAGTTCCGACAAACGGGAACAAAGTAGAACACTCAAGAATTTTTCAGAGTAGCTGGAAGTGTTTTAGAGCTCAAAAATATGTGAGGAATGTATTGTGTGTGTGTTGTTACAAACCACCTGCCAGCCATTTATAGGAGGATTTGTTGTGTGTTAAACGGAGTGTTAATGGACCTGAACGTTGGACATCAATGACCAGTCCGTTGGGCATTGAATCGTCCATAAATTGTCCATTTAACGCAGCATTAAAGGATAAGAACGTTGGGCATTTAATGCCTGTAACGCCTAGAGCAGTTCTGGTGCGACCAGAGGTCTTCTGGTGCGAACAGAAGAGAAGCAGTTCTTGTGTGACCAGAACTCGAGCACCTCTGTTGCGGACAGAAGGCGAGCACCTCTGTTGCGGACAGAAGGCGAGCACCTCTGTTGCGAACAGAACTCCCAGCTTGGAAAAATTAAGGAACGTTTCAGACGGCATTCGGGTCCGCAGGTTGCCCGCACACACGAGTCGCAGTTTTTCTTCTCCATTTCGGGATTTGATCGGTACCGCCCCCTGCGCGTAAGAGAGAGTCTTTACCTTCAGGAATCTTAACTCCTTAAAAGAGGCTTCCCTTTATAACGGGGTGAAAATCCCTTGAGTTTTCCGGTGTGGTATAAAACACACTAGAAACCCATCATTTTCCCAGTTTTTCCATTTCAACGAGTGAACTTCGAGAATCAATTTCTCATTCACCCGTTATCCGTTTTGAGCGTACCATATATCGAATTGTAGCCCTTAACAAGGACAATCCAAAACCACTTTGACCCGAGCCAAATCGGAAGCGGACCCCACTCAAATAATTGCCCCAAAATGACCATTTAATGCAATTTTTAACACATTTTTTCAACAATCCCCCACATGAATGAAAATTGATTTTCGTTAAAAAGACACGAAGATAGGAGGACACGTTGTGTTCACCGGATGATCCTTGCATACGGAGATGTAGGTTTTATCCTTTGAACCTTCCGCGGTAAAGACACGTTTATTTACTAGTAGTCTAGTAGACTCGATGTCCTTGAACTATACTGCCATCGTGTAAACATTGACTTATCTTTACACAAGAACCTTCCAACTTTGTTCCGTTCTCATGGGTGTGCCCGTTTTGGCCATGGGTCACCGTCCTGGTTCTGCAAGAGTTTCTAAAGAACTGAGCCTTTATAGTTCTCCTTTGAAGCGGCCTTCTTCTCTCTCACATAGGTGATTCTTTCACGAGTATCCCGCATACTCTTCTAATGTTATCGAGTAGATCAACATTTTAGAATCATTAAAGCAAACGTTTTTGCTAACCTCGTGCGGGAGTCACTATTTTAACGAGGAGTGGGTAGAAGTCCGGGACCCCCACAGTGACCATCCTTCGCTCTATAATTTAGTTGTCCCTTTTGAACCTAGGACAACCTAGGTTGGGTATCCACTATAGAACATTTCAATTCACGGGTTTTAGTCCCATTTCTCGTGACAACTTCTCCAACAATTCTCTATCCAATGCCTTGGTTAGCGGATCCGCTATGTTATCCTTTGACTTCACGTAGTCAACAAGGATAACACCCGTTGTGAGGAGTTGTTTAATGGTGTTATGTCTACGACGAACGTGTCTAGACTTACCATTGTACATATTGCTCTGTACCCTTCCTATTGCCGCTTGACAATCGCAATGTATGCATATTGGAGGGACATGCTTTTCCCAACTTGGAATATCCTCGAGAAAATGGTGTAGCCATTCAGCCTCTTCAGTGCACTTATCCAAGGCTATTAGCTCAGACTACATCGTTGATCTAGCTATTAACGTTTGTTTTGAGGATTTCCATGACACGGTTGCACCTCCCAAAGTGAAAACATATCCATTTGTGGACTTTGAGTCCTTAATGTCGGATATCCAACTAACGTCGATATACCCTTCAAGTACAGCTGGATATCTTCCATAGTGCAATCCAAGGTTTTGGGTTTTACGTAAGTACCTCAAAACGCTTACTATTGCCTTCCAGTGTTCATCACCGGGGTTGCTAGTATATCTACTTAGCTTACTAACCACAAATGCAATATCAGGCCTGGTACAACTCATTAGATACATCAGCTTCCAATAATCCTAGCGTATTCTACTTGAGAAATACACTCTCCACGATTTTTGGTAAGATGTACATTTTTATCTAATGGAGTCCTTGCCTCTTGATAATCATCCTTATTAAATTTCGTAAGGATTTTATCAACGTAGTGGGATAGGCTTAGCGTAAGACCATCTGGTCCCCTAATTATTTTAATCCCAAGGATTAAATCGGCCAGCCCTGTATCCTTCATGTCAAATTTAGAATTTAACATGCTTTTGGTAGAATTAATTATTAGATTATTGCTACCCATGATGAGTATATCATCCACGTATAAACATAAAATGACATAGTCGTCTACCGTGCTCTTCACATAGACGCATTTGTCACTTTCATTTATTTTAAACCCATTAATTAACATTGCATGATCGAACTTTTCGTGCCACTTTTTAGGGACTTGTTTCAATCCATACAACGATTTAATTAATTTACACACTTTCCTTTCTTGGCCAGGAACACGAAAGCCTTCGGGCTGCTCCATATAGATTTCTTCGTCTATATCGCCATTTAGAAAAGCGGTTTTTACGTCCATTTCATGAACTTCCAATTTCCACAATGCGGCAATTGCTAGTATCATCCTAATGGAATTTGTTCTTGTCACGGGAGAATACGTGTCAAAGTAATCATGGCCCTCACGTTGCTTGTATCCTTTGATTACAAGTCTGGCCTTGTACTTATCGATGGAACCGTCAGGTTTCATTTTTCGTTTAAAAATCCACTTGGATCCCAATGGTTTATTTCCTGGAGGAAGATCAACCAATTCCCATGTGTGATTTTTAAGGATAGAATCCACCTCACTTTTGATGGCTTCTTTCCACATAGGACCTTCGGTAGACGTCACGGCTTTCATATAAGTCTGTGGTTCATTTTCTACCAAACATGTTAGGAAATCCGGTTCATTTTCTACCATACATGTTAGAATATCCAAGTCAAATTCTACCAAGTAGGTGAGAAAATCTGGTCCGAAGGATTTTTCAACTCTTGCATGCTTGCTACGTCTGGGTTCGGGTTTTTCTCCGAACCCCTCGCTAGTATTTTCCATAGCTACGTCAAATGTTCATTTTGACGTGCTTGGTCCTTCGTTGGACTTGCATGGAAATACGTCTTCAAAGAATGATGCATTCCTTGATTCAATTATTGTGTTTTTATGTACATCCGGATTATTCGAATCGTACACTAAAAACCGATAAGCACTACTATTTTGTGCATATCCAATAAAAATGCAATCCACCGTTTTTGGACCTGTTTTTATTTTCTTAGGTGTTGGTACAAGCACTTTTGCCAGGCACCCCCACACTTTTAAATATTGATAGGAAGGTCGTCTCCCTTTCCACAACTCGTACGGAGTTTTATCATATTTTTTCCGGGGAACCTTATTTAAAAGGTAATTGCTTGACAAGACTGCTTCGCCCTACATATTTTGTGGCAGGCCCGAAATTACTAGCATCGCATTCATCATATCTTTCAATGTGCGATTCTTTCGTTCGGCAACACCGTTTGATTGAGGTGAATAGGGTGCAGTACGTTCATGTACTATACCCACGCTCGCGCAAAAGTCACCAATTGGTGCTTCATACTCACCACCTCGATCACTTCTAACCGCTTTAATCCGTCGATTAAGTTGGTTTTCCACTTCATTCTTATAAAGGATGAATTTATCGATTGCTTCGTGTTTATTTTTGAATAAATAAACGTAGCTATAGCGAGTGCTATCATCGATAAAGGTAATAAAATAATTATTACCGCCACGTGTTTGTATTGGTTTAAAATCACAAACGTCACTATGAATTAATTCAAGTGGTTTCGTTCTTCTTTCAACTGATTTGAAAGACGTTTTCGTTAGTTTTGTCTCTACACAAACTTCACATTTGTGCTTCACATCAATTGTGAATTTAGGAATGTGCTCCATGTTAATTAATCTACGTATAGAATTAAAATTAACATGTCCTAGTCTACCATGTCACACATTAGAAGACTCAAGCAAGTAAGCAACGGGATTTTATTATTATTATTAATAATAGTCGTTACATTGAGCTTAAACAGCCCATCACATGAATACCCTTTGCCCACATACATTCCCGACTTAGACAAAACCAGTTTGTCCGACTCAAAGACCATGCAGAAGCCATGCTTGTTCAACAACGAGCCGGAGATCAGGTTTTTGCGTATCTCCGGAACGAACAACACTTGGTTGAGAGTCAGCTCCTTGCCCGAAGTCATCTTCAGGACCACCTTGCCCACGCCTTCAACCGCGGAATGAACCGAGTTTCCCATCCACACCTTCTCACCATTTGATGGCTCAAAAGTAGTGAATAACTCCCAGTTTGAGCAAATATGCCGGGTTGCACCGGTGTCCACGAACCACTCCTTGGAATTGGATCCAACAAGGTTGACCTCGGTCACCACAGCCCCCAGGATTATGTCGTCGTCCTTTTGCCCACCTTGCACCAAGTTGACTTGAGAGTCTTTCTTCTTTCTTGGTGCCTTGCAATCCGAGGACTTGTGTCCATTCTTGTTGAAATTGAAGCGTTTTCCATTAAACTTTATTTTAGAAACGCTTCCCTTGGGACCGAGCTTGCTCTTCCCGTTATTTTTATTTTTGGAGCC